AGAGAGAGAGAGAGAGAGAGAGAGAGAGGCCAGAGGCATCGCGTCTCACCTGATAGTTTGCGATGGCGACGCCGTACAGTCTCGGCTCTCCCCACTCCACGGTGAACTGGTCGTCCTCTAGTCTGCGCAGCCAGATCTCCGGCGCACCGGGAGCGCCAGGTATGACCACCTGCACGCCAGGTAGCTTCACGTTCTCCCCGGTCTGAAACACCGCCTGTAGACTCACCTCGTAGACACACCTGTGGGTGAGACGACATACCTGTAATTAGGGTCGAGAATGTGGCCAGGTGTGGTGTCCGGTCTGTACTATTTACCTGGCGCCGACGATCTAGGCTGCGGTGACGTTCGGCAGTTATAAACGCTGTTAATAATTTTATGCAAATTTAATCTATTAATAAAATCTATAATCTTTAATCTATATATAAATCTAAATAATCTAAATATATCTTTCTATATGTTCTAAGTATATCTTCTATATTATCTAAATATATCTTTAATCCATAATTGAATTAAGTTTTATCTAAACTAAATTTAAGATGTTTATACGTATTTCTAACATTTAAATCTAGAAGTAGGCCTGGTTACAGTGAGCGGGGCTGCGTATATGGAGTTGTTATTGAGTAAGCTATAGTAGCTGATGGTGGTATTGCCAATATAATAGTGGATGCAGTAAGCGGGAAGTGGCATTGTTAGTATAGAACACTGTGTAGCACCGAAAGATAGCGATAGGTGCCAGTGCACAGTGAGTAGCAGCAGAGAATGGAATGGCTGGTCGATAACACGTGAGGTAGCAGCAGCAGGTGGAAGAGCCGCTCATACGTGGAGGGGTAGCAGCAGCAGGTGTCACAGCCGCTCATACGCGCGCGGGGTAGCAGCAGCAGGTGAAACAGCCGCTCATACGCGCGCGGGGTAGCAGCAACAGGTGGAACAGCCGCTCATACGCGAGAGTAGCAGCAGAAGGTGGAACAGCCACTCATACGCGCGCGGGGTAGCAGCAGCAGGTGGAACAGCCGCTCATACGCGCGAGGGGTATCAGCAGCAGGTGGAAGAGCCGCTCACCGCTCGGCCAGGATAGGTATGCTGCAGCCGGCGTCGTCCTTCGGTATCGACACGATCTGCATGTCCGACGGATTGTCGAGCGTGTGCCAGAACACCCTGTAGTTGACGAGACCGACCACGCGCTGCGGAGACCACTCCAGCAGGATATGGCCGGAGCAGGGTACGCGGCCCTGCTTGAAGGATGCTCGGATGTTCGACACCGGATCTGCAACGTCAATGCTTCAGCGGTCAGGACAAGTGGACGTCCTGTTTTGATACGTAGTTGTGATATAGAGAATAACGGTTAAACGTTGCAAGGATTATATTCACACTAACGTGTAATTACCTAATCTAACCAAATCTAACAAACAGCCCTAAAGAACAGCCATAAAGAACATCCCTAAAGAACAGCCCTAAAGAACAACACTAAAAAACAGGTGCATGAGAGACCAACCATGTCACAGGCAGGTGTACATGGTGACCTTAAATTGACTAAGTCACAAATTTTCTATGTATATTTTCTATGTATATTTGTACAATTTCTGTTGCAATTTTTTACATGAAAAGTAAATACTAACGGCACTAAATGTATCTTCAAATTCTTACCTGATAAGATTGTTTTTCAACTAGTTCAAAATCCAAAGAGCTGGGCGATTTGATATATAGATTACGACATTAAATGCTTGCTATAGGCTATGTATGAGTCACAAGTGTTTGTTCACATCGACCGGAATAGCAAAATAAGAAGTATAATGCAGCAATTCAACCATAAAAAGTGAACAGAATCACTTACATTTTTGCGAAAAAGTGGACATACCTACATAAAGTGGATTTTTTTTACTTTTACTATTTATGGTGACGTAATCACTTTAAGTGACTATGTCACTGCATTCTAGAAGATGATGCGTCCCCCCACACGCTACAGTGAGGTCTATAGCGACTCGGTCTGTTTCATACAACACTCAAGACTGTCACTTAACGTCAGTCGATTTCTTCTGACCGTGAAAAGAAGGAACAATAACATTGTGGAAGTCGTGTTTTTTTCGCCCAAGATGAATTCGGCGACCCTCGTGATTGTTCGGTAAAGGTCGGCGTGGCATATGACGTGTTTCATTTACAGCTTGGGCAAATTAAAGGTGGAGATTGATAGAACACAGGCGTCGAAGGAGGGTCACATGATGTGTTAGGGTTAGGGATAGGATCAGGGTTAGGATTAGGGTTAGGGTTAGGATTAGGGTAAGGGTTAGGGTTAGGATTAGGGTAAGGGTTAGGGTTAGGGAAATAAGGCCATGTCTAGCACGGAAGTATGACTGTGGAATCTTTCTGTGGAAGATTTGGACTTTGAAGCGTACGAAGTGACTAGTGCTGCCACGTAACGGCACCCTCCTTCAACGCCCGTGTTCTAGCAACACCCATTAAAGGTACATGAGCTGCTTGCTAGTTCCGACCTGCGTGTTCAGAGGGCAGCACTAGGTTGACAAGTTCCGAGAAGGCCTCGTCGTTGCCGTAGTCGTCCTGCGGCATGAGACTGCTCTCACGACTGTCGCTCGAACTGCTCGATAGCTTCGACTGAAAGAAAGAGCCAGTGACAGTCTATAAAGCTAGCAAACGATGGGGTGTGAGGGTATGGGTAGTGTCAAGGGTCTATAATAGCAAATCTATTATATTATTTTCTATCTTGTTTTTTTTATCTTTTCTATTATGGACTCTTAGTTGTGTACAATGTGGCAATGTAGAGATAGATGCATAATTACTCACGCAATTTATTAGTAACTGTGATGATGTGTATAATATATAATATTATATATCCCCACCGGCGCCTTCTCTCTCACTCTCACTCTCTCTCACTCTCTCTCTCTCTCACTCTCTCTTCTCTCTCTGCTTTTCTCTCACGTCTCTCACTCTCTTTCTCCGTCTCTCTCTCTCTTCTCTCTCTCTCTCTCTCTCTCCTTCTCTCTCTCTCTCTCTCTCTTTCTCTCTTCTCTCTCTCTCTCGATCCTCTCTCCCATTCCTCTCTCATCTCCTCTTCCTTTCCTGCTGTCGTCTCTCCAGGCTTTGCTCTCTCCTCCCCCTTTCTCCTCTCTCTCTTCTCTCTCCTCTCTGCTTCTCTCTCTCTCGCGCTCTCTCACTCCCTCACTCTCTTTCCTCGCTCTCTCTCTCTCGCTCTCTCTCTTCTCTTCTCTCTCTCTCTTTCCTCTCTCTCTCTCTCTCTTCTCTCATTTCTCTCTTTCTCTCTCTCTCTCTCTCTCTCTCCTCTTCTCCTCTCCTTTCCCTCTCACCCTCTCTCTCTCTCTCTCTCGCTAGGTGGCTCACCTTCTTACGTCGGTACTTGCGCACTTGCTCTGTGCAGGTGATGGCGACAAGCGCCATGCTGTACCTCTTGCCTTGCTTACACTTGGTGAGGTTGCAGTGCTGCATCGCCGGACCTAGCCGCGTGTACGGCTGTCCGTTCACCTCCAGCCTGTAGCCTGCGCCGCAGAGAGCAACATTGGGCAACACTGAGCAACAACTGGGCAACACTGATCAACAACTGGGCAACAATGTGCAACACTGAGCAACATGTGAGCAACAACTGAGCAACACTGGGCAACACTGAGCAACACTGAGCAACACTGAGCAACATGTGACCAACACTGAGCAACACTGAGCAACACAGGGCAACAACTGAGCACCACTGAGCAACATGTGAGCAACAACTGAGCAACATGTGAGCAACAACTGAGCAACACTGGGCAACACCAACACTGGGCGCTACCAGCCACACAGTGTGAAAACCCACGCGCATGCCATAGATATCATATATATAGAGAGACGTTCCCATAAACAGGCCCTGTAGATCTGAGCTAGGCTTGTCCACCATCGCGACAGTATTACACTTGCTTATCGTACTCTAAGACTGAGACTAAGGCTAAGACTAAGACTGACAATCTAGAGGAATAGTTTCAGGCACGCACGCACGCACGCACGCACGTACGCACCTATGAGCCTGCGGCGCAGGTACTTCGGTCCTGCGTTGTCCTTGTCGTTGAAGGCCTCTATGGGCGTGAAGAGCAGCGGCCTCTCCCAACACAGGCTCACCGTGCTCGTAGTGTAGCCCGTGACGAGCAGCGTCGGTGGCTCAGAGGGCGCGGGCGTGCGCAGCAGCAGCGCACCAGAGCTGATATGTACGGTACGCCGCGACTCGGCGCTCTCCTGTAGGCATGACAACGCTGATGATGATTATGACGATGATGACGATGATGATGATGGCGAGGGATGATGATGATGATGATGACGATGATGATGATGATGAGGATGATGATGATGATGATGATGATGATGATGGTGGCAAGGGACGATGCTGCTGCTGCTGCTGATGATGATGATGATGATGACGATGACGGGGATGATGATAATGATGGCGCAGGATGATGCTGGAGTGGGATAAGTACGCGTGCGCTAGCAGTACGGATCAGTATTACTATGTTACATGTTTACATGGCAATTAAAACTTAGGACCAATATTAAAGAATATGTCATTACTTTGGTTAAACATGACATTTTACGTCACACCTGTGCTTGACGTCACGCGTCCACCTGACGTCACATTCCCACCTGACGTCACATATCACCAGCTGACGTCACAACAGTTTACCTTCAGGTCCGTCTTGACACTGACTATGGTCTCGATCAGCATCTTATAGACTGTCCCCGTCTGCAGGTCACCTACGACGGTCTTGCTGACGTCGACAGGCACGCTGATGTGTCGTGCCAGACTAGGAGCCATGTCCTCCTCCATCTGTTTCACCTCGCAGCAGCGAACCAGCTGTGCCTCGACCCTGCAAGCACAAGGTAGAAAACACAATTATAACAACATAGAGCAGATAGGAGAACAATGAATCTATTATGTGTTGTATTCTGAATGAATATGTGTTTATATTTATATAAATGTGTGTGTGTGTGCGTGCGTGCGTGCGTGCGTGCGTGCGTTCGTGTGTATGTGCGTGCATGTCTGTGTATGTGTTATTGTGTATATAATGGTGTACGTATGAGTAACGAAATGATGTTAAAGTGTATCTTAATCACTTGTACACTTTACTTGTACAGAATATGCTGACGTTTTTTGTATATATTTTTCCTTCATGTTGTATAGCACTGTTTTGTACTGTATCACTCAGACATTTTTTCTCCATGAAAAAGTCTTCAGTACATGTACTTGTATCTGAATTAGATGCAATACAGATTTAATAATAATAAAATAATATAGGTCACCGCTAGAGGCGCCACCGGCACATCGCGTTCGACTTACGGACGCCATAGTGGCGAGTCGCCTATTGGCGAATTAACTGAGCGGACCCTTTACTGACTACTACAGCGGTGATTACCGGATAATTTTAAATTTACAGTAGGAATATTGACACAGAGGAAATTTTCTCTCATGATTGGTCAGCGATTGGTATTATGTCGCTGATTTATATAGACATAATTTTATAATTTTAATAATTATTTCGAGTCGCCTCGGGAAGTCGTTATTATTCCTTTCTGTAGCTCATACCAGACAGAGATGCCTTCCATGGCTATACACATAACCATCTATGAACTCTGTCCCTCCACTATGACACGACTGTCACATGACGAGAGCTGTTCGACGATTGGACAGTAATGACGTAATTTCGCTTCGTAACTTTGTACACTGATCGCGGCCATTTTGAAAACCGCACCTATTCGATCCGTAGACAACGGCTGGCTTCCAACGGATGGTCACCGAGTTAGTGAACATCTTGACAACAGATGGCGTTGACGGCGGGTCAGTGCCGGAGGTCATGCACAGTGTCGACACGCTAGGCAGCCACATGTCCTTGGGAATCGAACCAACGTCCTTCGGCAGAGCTCTGAAAGTAGTAGAAACAGCGTGGTCTCTCAATGTTCCCTCCTCCTGACGCTCTTTCCACAACCACTACACCCCGCTTAGCGTGCGACCGCTATATTAATCCAAGATGGCCGCCTTCCTCTATCCTGGTGAAGTTGCTCCTATCAAAAATTGAAACCTAAGGCAATGGATAGTACATGGAAAAAAAGTTTGGTGCTTTTATCTGGAATATCCCCATTATTTTGTTTAACTACCTGAATAATAGGACGAGGGGCCTGCACCACGATATAAGATAGATATATGATATAACAGTTTTATTTACCGCTTTCAATATTAGTAATTACAAGGATTTTAACAAAGCGAATAGTAAACAATACAGCAAAGGAATGACGAAAAGACCATAGAGTCATCTAGTCAGCCATCACCTGGAAAAATTATAAGTATGCTACCGTAGTGTGTATAGTACTACTATAACGCGTGGGTTAGAGTGGCAGGGGGCTGTCCGCCCTGTGTCCTGCCGAGGCCTAACCACGCCATCCTTATCCTGACCCGTTCTACGTCTTTGACAAATCAAACAAGTTCACAGTCGCCGATAGACGTACGCACACACGCGCGCGCTCACACGCACGCACGCACACACGCACGCACACACACAAACACACACGCACACACACACATACATACATACATACACACATACACACACACACACACACACACACACGCACACATACCACCCCCCCAGAGATAGTATCAACCCATCACCTCACTCCCCCGCCTGCAGCCCTAACACA